CATGCGTTCAAGAAGCTGTTCTCAAAAATGTGGTCGCCAGACCCATGGTTAACAATATAATTTTAAATGCATTTGTTGAATGGGAGCGAGCAAATGGAATATATGGTCTCCTTTATTAGATATGCAGTGCTTCACCTACTCGATTCAAAATAGGACCAACATTTTGTGAAGGAAGTTATCTATCTGTACATTTTGTAGAGCGAGCCGTACTTCTTGGTGCTGAATAGGAACTACCGGTAGCAAATCTGGGCTGCATAAAGTCAGATTACCGCTAGAGAACAGCAGAGAGTTGCCTTCTGTGTCTCTTTGTTGCCTTCTAGCGTTCATCGGTTTTTTGGTTTTTTTCCCAACAGACTTGAACTGAAAAAAATTCCTGAAAGCACTGCCAAATATAAGATTGCCACATTTGTATTATTTAGTCCTGAGTTGAATAATTTTGTCTACGCTGGGTTGGTAACCATCCATTTAATTATATTTAACGAAGTCATAATTCAATTCATAGAGATTCTCACCAGCTGCTTTTCTATAAAGGTTTCTGGACTCCTGATTCTAGCTGTGCTCAATTACAGAAAATGTGCCAAGAAGCAGCCCCCATATTTACTGTTAGATGCTTTCAATATTGGAAGCATTTGGATTAGTCCCTCTCCCCCACCCACCCACCCACCCCTTGGTGGTTGTCTAGATGATTTCCCTTCAATTAATGAAACTGTTTCCAGACTGAAAATGCACTTTGTGCCACAATGTGAAATGTGTTATGCCAATAGTCTGTTGAACATCAAGGAAGCTTCCTCTGTTTGTTGAAAGCAATTAACCAGAAATAAATAATCAGAATTTGTTCTGGTTAGCAAAACTAGAAAAAGGAAAATGCTTCTGGAAGGCATTCCTAATACTGACTAATTACCACATTTTACTATTCTTTTAATAAATATTGATGAAACCCTCTTTCATAATTTTTAGCCCTCTTTGATCCAAGGAGAGTAAGTCACATTACTTAGTTATTTTGGTAAAATGATTCATATCCATAAATATATGCTTCAGGTGTCTTAACCTTCTTTATATGGGGCCAAAGACCTGTAATTCCTCTTCATATAGACTATTACAAAGCTTGGTCTGATACCAAAAAAAGTGTTTGTTGTTTACTTTCTTTAATATAGGTCTGTGTTTTCTAAATAATTAAAAAAAAATCAACATAGGCGCTTATAATGGAAGCTTATATTGATGAGTATAACTCTTGGCTATTGCGCTTAATTGTCCTTCATTCTTCAGTATACACCATGATTCAGCTAATCTAATTTATTATTAGCTGAGATAGTTGAATAATGAAACTTTTGTTGGAACTAGAGTGTTCCGTAGGATTTTATAGTTAAAAAGGAGGTGAGGAAAAAATAGAGAGTGAATTCAGAGGATGAGAGTTGTGAATGCATAAGCTCAAATAAAAGGAGGCATATTAAATTGCAAATTTCAATTCTAAAATGAAAAGAGAAGCTGTAAAGCAGAGGTTCTCAACCCTTAAGCCGGACCTTGAGTCAGTCAGAACTGGGCCATGGAAGGAGTGGATGAGTAGTGGGCATGCACATGTGCTCCGTTTGCACTAGCAGTGGGGTGGGCAGGGCCACCATTCATGCAGAACCATCCCCTCTCCCCCCTCTGCAAAGCCAAAAAGCCAGAAAGGTTGGAAAACTCTGCTGTGAAGAAACAAACCCAGGGTTGTCAGTATTTATATGGAACCCTTGTGTGCAGAAAATTCCTATGGTCTTATCGGTGAGGTGAGCTAAGGTTATTTAAAAAATATGATACCATGATTGAGGGATGAACTGTAGATGCACACAAATGAAATATGCTTTGGGTTAGAGTACCATTCTGAGCTAAACTTGTAGTTCAGTACCAGAGTATTTAGGATATATTCTGCATAAAGTATGACTATTACAGTGCACCTCCTGCATTCATAACTGGAGTAGCTCAGGGATGTGCCACCCTTTCGTGTTGTGGGAACACTAGGATTGTTGCCATAAAATTATAAAAAGTTACACAGAACAGAGTTCTGGAATGCCAATTTATTTCCTTGATCAGTTTCTCCTGAAGGAGAAACTTTCCTTCTATTTCTGCTTATCTTTGTCCTATTTCTGGGATAGGTAGACATATCATCAAATTAAGTGCTAGGCACTGCAGCCTCCTATTTTAGGCATAGAATTTGAGGAATTCGTGGGGATAATAATTCTGGAGACAGATGCTTTGTTTTATACCCTGCCACTTTCTTTTTTAAAAGAAATGAAAAATCATGTGGGGTAGGAAGCCTGGCCAGCACTTAAGAATTATTTATTGGCAACCAGAGTAGCAGCCAGAGATAGGAATCCAATAATAGCTTGTCTATTTGGAATTTCACCAAGAAGGTAAAGGTAGCATTCGGCAAGGTGAGGAACATAGATATGACCTAACTCTTGATATTAGAGTCACTGCCTGGTCTCAGAGACATAAAAATATGTTAACTGCTAAGAAAAACCCTTGAGAATGTAACTCTTTATATCTAGACTTCCTCTGCATGATAAAGATACTGAGGTAATTGAATCCATGGAAGATTCCATGTGAGCATTGGTTTTCATGAAATTTCCTCCCCATTATGTTCATGCTATGCCCACTGCCAGGAGTTTGATCCTGACCGGCTCAAGGAGGATTCAGCCTTCCATTCTTTCGCGGTCACTGAAATGAGTACCCAGATTGTTGAGGACAATATGCGGACTCTGTAAACTGCTTAGAGTACAGGTGTCAGACTCGATCGCGTGATGTGTCGTGATGTTTTTTGCCTTTGTGGATGGGCATGGACTGCACATGGTGTATCCGGCCCGCGAGTTTGACACCTCTGGTTTATATAGTGCTTTAAAGCACTATGAAGCGGTATATAAGAGTAAGTGCTATTGCTATATAGTATCAGTGTACCATAGGAAAGATCAGGCAATATGCCAATATGAAAGACTTTTACTTTCCATCAGTCTCATGACATCTTCATCTGTTTTGCTGTGTTCCTAGTTTCTAAGGAAAGTCTAACAAGTGTCTGAGTTTTACCCTTTTCTTATAAGTGGCCTACCACAGCTAATATGTAGAGCAAGTGTAGTGTAGGGTTGTTGGACTTAGACAAAGAAGATTCAATTTCAAGTCCCTACTCCCCTGAGTCATTTATATGGCCAGTCACACATTCTCAATTGAAGCTACAGGACAACGACTCTTTTAATTGTTAGATTATTTTATTTATGAAATGAAACAGGCACCAAACTTTATTGTTGATTATTTTATTCAAACTCTCATTATATATTACGAGGACTCATATTATCTTTGATAATATCCAATAAATATTCAATAAAATTCAGAATATACAAAAAAGGACAGTTTTTATATCAAACTGTATTCTGCATTATAGAAATACAGCTATGGGGAAGCCAAAATCAAATCAGGGATGACAGAAAATATACCACGAAGTTGAAATACAAAGCTATTTTGAATATTATTATTATTATTATTTTAATTTGTATACCGCCCTTCTCCCATAGGACTCAGGGCGGTTCACAGCATATTAAAAACAAATAATATACACAAAATACAAAAAATACAAAATACAAAAATACAAAAATACAAAAAAATAAACCCCGATAAAAGCCGAATTAAAACCAAATATTACCAGCTGTGTTTCCGATTAAAATANTATCATTGAATAAATCAACCCAGAATTTTCACTCAAGACACAAATGACCAGGTTTAAATTATTCCAACACATTATCAAATATCTAGGACTCTGGAGAAGGTTCTAATGCTGGGAAAGATGGAAGGAAAGAGAAGAAAAAGATTACCAGCAGCAAGTTCGACAACAGTAGTGGATACACCATTGGAATACCTGAAGGACCGGGTTACAGAAAATCTGTCTGTTGGTTGATAAGAGTTGACACCAGTGAGCAATATTGCTTAGATCAATAAGCAATAACCCTCATAGACAATTCATTCTACTATTCCCTTTGACAGCAGAATGCTTCCACCTCAAGAGGAAGATGACCTCTTCTATAGGTGGTGCTCTTGCTAAACAGAATCCTTCCTACCTCACTTAAGATCATCTGGAATGTGAAAGCAGGTACAGCAAATATGCAGATGTGTCACCACTGATTGTCTAATCCTTTCTGGATGATTAGCTGAAAGAATATGCAGAAGAAATGGCTCAAACCAGGTGAGCAAGTGGAGAAGAAATGCCAAAACAAAAACAGAATATTAATCTTTCTTGTGTTATTTGAGTGTGTATTTTATATATGTATATGTGTGTGTATACACACAAACTATTTCCTGCCATAAGAAGCTGAAAGGAAAGGGGAGTTGCACAGACTCCAGGAGACTTTTCAGTGGGAAAGGGTTGTGCCCTGCCTTGTTTTCCCCCCAGACCGCGTTGCAACGCAAAAGAAAAACCAGGTTTTCGTTTGATGGCTCTCCAGTCTGTTCCGTCCAAAGGAAGGCTGAAGTGCTGGAGCTCCCTCTCCACATATAAACGCCAAGCCTTCTGCACAGCATAGACGGCGCTTGAGACAAAATAGGGGAGGGGGAAAAGAGGCGTTCTAGTCTTGTGAGCGGGAGAATCCATTCAGCCTCCTAAATCGGGGTCGGAGCCAAGGGAGGTCGGGAATTTCTCTTGGCCTTTCAAGAGCCCCCGTATTTCCAAGAAGGACGGTTGGTACATGCGAACCTTCAAGAGAAACGCCGAACTTCTCGTCACCTTGAAATCCCGGAACACGCATCCTCGACCCATCCAGCTTTCCACGGGGAAGGAAAACCTGTTCGCCACCCCTCCTCTCCGCGTGTGGAAGCTGAATGCGGTAAGCTAGGGGAGGAGCAGCAGATGACTTCATGCAGCAGGACTGCCGTGAATTTGGAATCAGCAGCTGCAAGCTGTGTGCTGGGGAATGACTGACAGCAGGAGTCCCCCCGGGCGTCTGCCTGGCGAACCTTCCTTCCCCAGCGTTCTTTTAAAAACCTCAGCCGCAGCGGGTGGCTCGGCCAGAAGCTGCTGAAAACAACCGCCCAGCGGCGGCGGCGGCTTAGCCGCAGCGAGGGGCCAAGCAGATGCGTTAAATAATCGGTCGTCGGAAAGGTGAGTGGACGCGCACGTTGCTCTCCTCCTGAGATGCAACCAAACGGCGTGGGATGGGGGGGGACAGGGAACGGAGCCCGCGGGGGACGGGACGGCGGACGTAGCACGTGCTTGGCCAGAGGCGTGTGAGTGTGGCTCCTTAGCGTGGTCGCCGACCTCGAAAGACGCGTCGTGGGGCTGCTGGGAAGCGGCTCGCGGGAGCTAATGGAGGAGCGTTTCTCTGTTGGAATCCAAGCCGGGATCCCCGCCAGGCTCCTTCCGCCTCCGCTCTGGTAGGGGACGGCGGCTGGTTCCCCCCGCAACAGCGGCGAGGAGCCCCAGGCAGAGCCCGGCCTTTTCGCGCGTAGAGGCGCCTCCCCGCGCCCGAGAGGTCAGCGCTTGTTTTCTCGGCTGCCTAAAAATAGTCGCGAGTCGGAGGGACGGCGGGAGGAGGAAAGCCGGGAGGAAGGTCAGTGTGGCGAATTCTGGATTGCGCTTCCTCAGAACCAGGCATCTTGAGATGGCCCGTGGGATCACGGCAGGCAGAAAGAAATGAGCTCCATCGGAATGGCTACGAGGCTTAAAATGTGTGACTTATATTAGCTCTACGTTGATAGAAAAATAGGCTATATAGTATATACAGTGGGAAGGATTGAGTTCAAGTTTCGGGGGGGGGGAGTCGTTCTTCCTCCTCGATCTCACTGTTGTTTGCCCCACTGCTTTCTTCAATTTTCCTGCTACCACCCTGAGAGTTGCCCTTAAAGGTTACCTTACCTCCATTTTTCTCCTGCACAAGCAGCCATTTTAATCCATACACATAAATTTGCAGTACTGGTTGATAATAAAAGTATCTGTGAGTGGTTGATGGCATGCGTTCAAGAAGCTGTTCTCAAAAATGTGGTCGCCAGACCCATGGTTAACAATATAATTTTAAATGCATTTGTTGAATGGGAGCGAGCAAATGGAATATATGGTCTCCTTTATTAGATATGCAATGCTTCACCTACTCGATTCAAAATAGGACCAACATTTTGTGAAGGAAGTTATCTATCTGTACATTTTGTAGAGCGAGCCGTACTCCTTGGTGCTGAATAGGAACTACCGGTAGCAAATCTGGGCTGCATAAAGTCAGATTACCGCTAGAGAACAGCAGAGAGTTGCCTTCTGTGTCTCTTTGTTGCCTTCTAGCGTTCATCGGTTTTTTGGTTTTTTTCCCAACAGACTTGAACTGAAAAAAATTCCTGAAAGCACTGCCAAATATAAGATTGCCACATTTGTATTATTTAGTCCTGAGTTGAATAATTTTGTCTATGCTGGGTTGGTAACCATCCATTTAATTATATTTAACGAAGTCATAATTCAATTCATAGAGATTCTCACCAGCTGCTTTTCTATAAAGGTTTCTGGACTCCTGATTCTAGCTGTGCTCAATTACAGAAAATGTGCCAAGAAGCAGCCCCCATATTTACTGTTAGATGCTTTCAATATTGGAAGCATTTGGATTAGTCCCTCTCCCCCCCACCCACCCACCCACCCCTTGGTGGTTGTCTAGATGATTTCCCTTCAATTAATGAAACTGTTTCCAGACTGAAAATGCACTTTGTGCCACAATGTGAAATGTGTTATGCCAATAGTCTGTTGAACATCAAGGAAGCTTCCTCTGTTTGTTGAAAGCAATTAACCAGAAATAAATAATCAGAATTTGTTCTGGTTAGCAAAACTAGAAAAAGGAAAATGCTTCTGGAAGGCATTCCTAATACTGACTAATTACCACATTTTACTATTCTTTTAATAAATATTGATGAAAACCTCTTTCATAATTTTTAGCCCTCTTTGATCCAAGGAGAGTAAGTCACATTACTTAGTTATTTTGGTAAAATGATTCATGTCCATAAATATATGCTTCAGGTGTCTTAACCTTTTTTATATGGGGCCAAAGACCTGTAATTCCTCTACATATAGACTATTACAAAGCTTGGTCTGATACCAAAAAAAGTGTTTGTTGTTTACTTTCCTTAATATAGGTCTGTGTTTTCTAAATAATAAAAAAAAAATCAACATAGGTGCTTATAATGGAAGCTTATATTGACGAGTATAACTCTTGGCTATTGCGCTTAATTGTCCTTCATTCTTCAGTATACACCATGATTCAGCTAATTTAATTTATTATTAGCTGAGATAGTTGAATAATGAAACTTTTGTTGGAACTAGAGTATTCCATAGGATTTTATAGTTAAAAAGGAGGTGAGGAAAAAAATAGAGAGTGAATTGAGAGGATGAGAGTCCTGAATGCATAAGCTCAAATAAAAGGAGGCATATTAAATTGCAAATTTCAATTCTAAAATGAAAAGAGAAGCTGTAAAGCAGAGGTTCTCAACCCTTAAGCCGGACCTTGAGTCAGTCAGAACTGGGCCATGGAAGGAGTGGATGAGTAGTGGGCATGCACATGTGCTCCGTTTGCACTAGCAGTGGGGTGGGCAGGCCCACCATTCATGCAGAACCATCCCCTCTCCCCCCTCTGCAAAGCCAGAAAGGTTGGAAAACTCTGCTGTGAAGAAACAAACCCAGGGTTGTCAGTATTTATATGGAACCCTTGTGTGCAGAAAATTCCTATGGTCTTATCGGTGAGGTGAACTAAGGTTATTTAAAAAATATGATACCATGATTGAGGGATGAACTGTAGATGCACACAAATGAAATATGCTTTGGGTTAGAGTACCATTCTGAGCTAAACTTGTAGTTCAGTACCAGAGTATTTAGGATATATTCTGCATAAAGTATCATGACTATTATAGTGCACCTCCTGCATTCATAACTGGAGTAGCTCAGGGATGTGCCACCCTTTTGTGTTGTGGGAACACTAGGATTGTTGCCATAAAATTATAAAAAGTTACACAGAACAGAGTTCTGGAATGCCAATTTATTTCCTTGATCAGCTTCTCCTGAAGGAGAAGCTTCCCTTCTATTTCTGCTTATCTTTGTCCTATTTCTGGGATAGGTAGACATATCATCAAATTAAGTGTTAGGCACTGCAGCCTCCTATTTTAGGCATAGAATTTGAGGAATTCGTGGGGATAATAATTCTGGAGACAGATGCTTTGTTTTATACCCTGACACTTTCTTTTTTATAAAGAAATGAAAAATCATGTGGGGTAGGAAGCCTGGCTAGCACTTAAGAATTATTTACTGGCAACCAGAGTAGCAGCCAGAGATAGGAATCCAATAATAGCTTGTCTATTTGGAATTTCACCAAGAAGGTAAAGGTATCATTCGGCAAGGTGAGGAACATAGATATGACCTAACTCTTGATATTAGATTCACTGCCTGGTCTCAGAGACATAAAAATATGTTAACTGCTAAGAAAAACCCTTGAGAATGTAACTCTTTATATCTAGACTTCCTCTGCATGATAAAGATACTGAGGTAATTGAATCCATGGAAGATTCCATGTGAGCATTGGTTTTCATGAAATTTTCCCCCCCCCATTATGTTCATGCTATGCCCACTGCCAGGAGTTTGATCCTGACCGGCTCAAGGAGGATTCAGCCTTCCATCCTTTCACGGTCACTGAAATTGTTGAGGACAATATGCGGACTCTGTAAACTGCTTAGAGTACAGGTGTCAAACTCGATCGCGTGATGTGTCGTGATGTTTTTTGCCTTTGTGGATGGGCATGGACTGCACATGGTGCATCCGGCCCGCAAGTTTGACACCCCTGGTTTATAGAGTGCTTTAAAGCACTATAAAGCAGTATATAAGAGTAAGTGCTATTGCTATATAGTATCAATGTACCATAGGAAAGATCAGGCAATATGCCAATATGAAAGACTTTTACTTTCCATTAGTCTCATGACATCTTCATCTGTTTTACTGTGTTCCTAGTTTCTAAGGAAAGTCTAACAACTGTCTGAGTTTTACCCTTTTCTTATAAGTGGCCTACCACAGCTAATACGTAGAGCAAGTGTAGTGTAGGGTTGTTGGACTTAGACAAAGAAGATTCAATTTCAAGTCCCTACTCCCCTGAGTCATTTATATGGCCAGTCACACATTCTCAATTGAAGCTACAGGACAACGACTCTTTTAATTGTTAGATTATTTTATTTATGAAATGAAACAGGCACCAAACTTTATTGTTGATTATTTTATTCAAACTCTCATTATATATTACGAGGACTCATATTATCTTTGATAATATCCAATAAATATTCAATAAAATTCAGAATATACAAAAAAGGACAGTTTTTATATCAAACTGTATTCTGCATTATAGAAATACAGCTATGGGGAAGCCAAAATCAAATCAGGGATGACAGAAAATATACCACGAAGTTGAAATACAAAGCTATTTTGAATATCATAGCATACCAAGTAAACTTATGTATTTTTAGGGTTCTTGTAATTAAATTAAGTAACTTGATTTTCTCACCTATTCTGGTCATTTGTTGATATTGATTAATATACAGAGCCAGAGATTAAGGTGAAAATTGTGCATTATTTCTTCTATAAGTTCAGTCTAGATAAATTTCAGGTGACAGCCCATCTCATGATGCTTGTGGACAGGTGGATAAGCTACAAATTCAGAGTGCAGCTTATGAGTGCCAAATCCAATAATAGCATTCAAAAAGAGAGGTTGTGTAGGAAGTGTGAAAAGCTGTTATTCATCTTCATTTTTAAAAGGAGGTAATGTAGTTGTGGAATAGTGGTTTCATGTTTTCTTGCTACCTTTAATCAGCTTAGCATCCTATGTCATGCTTGAGAGTTAATTTACTTGTCAACTACATGTAGATATTGTACATTGTGCTTAAGAAACAACTGCAGGCAAGCACAGAAAAGGTTATTTTGCTAGTTTTCCTTCTGAGTTACCTTGTAGTTGTGCTCTATGAATATGGATTTATTGGCATGCTTATTTTATTGTGTTACTTATACTTTAATGAAACTTGGGATTTGGGCTAACGTAACTGTGAAGTTAATTGCCATTGATTAGAAGCGTGTGGATCAATGGTTTAAATATGCTGGATTTG